TAAATTAAACATCTAAAATGTAAGAAATGTTAAGTCAAAGAATGTAATATTCATTTGAAAACAAAATTAGATATGAAATATGTTAAATTCACAAATATAAATAAATATAAAGCAATTATGGACATGACAATTCCATCACAAAATGTTCAACTTCATTTAATAGCATGTATAAGTGGTCTTGTGGACTTGATAGTAAGTGTTGCCACCAGGCCGGTTTCTAAAGTCGTGTTCTGGATTAATTATTAATTTGTCCGGTTTTTGTAGAAATTGTGAAATTATGATAAAACAAAATAAATTTATAAAAATATTTGTGAGTATTTTATTTTAATGGTTAAAGACTAACTTCACATACCCACTCAAACTTATCCCTGGGCTAAAAGTGACAGAAAATGTACTTTTAAAATTCTATCTTGCAAATATCTCTGGCAAATATTAGGTTTGTTCCAACAGAAGTCACTAACTGGTTTAAAATTGGCATGCGCATTGTTCAGTTCTTGGCTGTAAAATGACATGCACATGTCTCGTATTTATATTATATATTGTATCAGATACAATATATCTTTTGTAACTTATTATTATTAATGTTGGTATATGTTATTATTTATTATTCTTACTGTTATGTATTATTTTTGCAATTAATATCAACATTGGACTGTTATTAATTATTTTTGGATACCCCACATGTGATTATTGTATTACTTTAATAATATATCATGTACTGTACATGTTTACCTTCTAATAAAAAAAAAATATTTATTTTCTACTCAATAAAAAACTATTTTTTTATTTCTAAGTATAACATCCCAATTTTAAAATGTCCAGGTCAGCAATTTTGAAAAGTTCTGCTTGATAGCCTTTCTAAGGCATAGGTACAGTACATAAGGATAACATAAGGATTCTTTCTTCATTTCATATACTATCATATGCATGTGAGTAGTCCAATTTCATGCATTTATGCTACACAAGGTCATAGAAACATCTAGCCAGTCTAGCTATCTTTACTGCCAATGTTACAATGAATATAATTCTAACTTCAAATTACTCACCAGTGTGTATAACACTGTCAGACCAAACCAATAGACTTCTCTATAGGGGGAAAGGGAAAGAGAAAAGAAGAAAGCAATACCTCAGGAATTACTTTCTCCCTTAACATGACAGCCACACTTTTTCGGCCAGACCACTTTATTCCCCCTTCCTATAGCCTTGCTAGTGTAAGGTTCATTAATCTGGCACCTTATATGGCATTAGAAGCAGCTTAATATTCATTAAAAGGTGTCTTAACTATTTTTCATTATCACAAGTTACAAAATATGTTCAAAATTCTGTGCAGAATGGTCATTTGTATTGATTGCAGTAAAGGTAAAGGTCTGGCATCCTTGTTTTTCTATGGAAAGATGTGACTGATAGTTCTTTTCAAAAGATTAGATCCTTATTGTTGTTCTTATCAATTAATTCACTTATGGCTCTAACTGAGCCCTGGAAACTTTTTTTTTCATTATTGTACAAATTAATAATGCTTAAGCATCTTCCTGTGCCCAAACTTTTCTTCTCCATTCTGTTCTCTCTTGACAATCCTCTTCTGTCAGTCCTTTGTGCTCCATAGCTTTTGTTACTTCCTCTATCCATGAAGTCCGTAGCTTTCCTCTCCTCCTACTGCCTGCCTGCCAGAATCCATTTCAATATCTGTTCTGGTAGTCTACCTTCTTCTATCCTCTGAATATGGCCATACCAGGTTAATTGTTTGTTAAGGATATAATCAACTATAGAGTTTTGATAATCCATTTTTTTTCCTAATTTCCTCATTTATTACTTTATCTAGTTTTGAACATTGAGCGGATCTTCTCAAAAAGTCCATTTCTGTGGATTCTAATTTAGATTTAAATGGAATTAAGATGGGTATAGGGATATCACGTCCATTTTGTAGATTATGCTGGTACTGCCATGTGCTTTTGCCATGTTGGAACTAATGATGGTTTTGGCATCTATAGAGGAAGGAGTGACATGTAGTGATTCTGGAAGTAGCTCTCATAGAAACTTTGCAAGGGCTTTTTCCAGGTGGTAGGTGGGATGCGACCTTTTGTTTACTAATGGTCGTAGTGGCCAGTTCTCTTTATGCATTTTTGGCTGAAAAAAATAGCCTAGGGCAGGCAATGTTGGATGAAGGATCGAGGTGTCCTGATAGTGTCAAGGCTATTCCTGGAATGATTTTCTTTGCTCTGTTGGTGTTTATCTCCACAGATTGTGACTGTAACAGAAAATCATTGGCTCTAGTGATGAAGTCATTCTTTCTGCACAAAACAAATCTTTTGTCCTTATCCGATACTAAGAGCCTCAGATCGTTCTTGGCAAAGAATTTCGTTACTGCCTGGTGGTTTTTGCAACTATTTGGTGCATCAGAGATTTGCTTTGTCATAGCAAGTTTCATGATAATTTCTAACTTCATTTGCTGGTACATGGGTGCAGTCTGGCAGGATTTTAAAGCTGCTAAGGTGGCTGGGACAAACTGGTTGAAATCTGAGCTTGTAGGAGATGAGATGTACTTGGGACCCCATTNTATTATTTTTATATTTTTCAATATATTTATTTTGTTTGTACAAAATAAAAAAATAATTTTCAACGATACAATAGTCTTTGTTAAGCTTAACATCGACGAAAATTCAATGCGAAGCGACACGCAACGGAGAAAAATTTTGAAATCGGATACGTTAAACTATTTTTTTGTACGTAAATCAGTTATCCGAAATATCAGTTATCCGGACAACCCCAGTCCCCAATTGATTCGGAAAATCGACGCTCTACTGTAAATTAATAAACACTGTATAAAAATGAATAACTGCGACATTTATCTGGTTATCATTTAAAGATTAAAAAAAAATACTAAAGCCTGTTCAAAACAGAAAAAATAATTTGATACCATGCAATTCAATTTTATACAGGTTTTACCATAATTCTTTCTATGGTTTTTTCTTTATCAACTTTGCTTTGCAGGGACTAAGAGGACTTTCTTCTATGCTCATTATGGATTAAGCCAAGTCCAGAGTGGTGGGACTTGACATATCAGTGTCAAATTACCCATGAAAATCACTGAGAATCTAACTTCAATCCCTTGGATCCCTTGGGGAAACAAGTTTATATCTACCACTTCAGTCAACTGGATGTCTTACTATGGATTAAAATTAATTAGAATGCCCCTTAACATCATAATTTAAGATTCTAGCTTATTTCAGTTCTAAGACTTAAGAATTATACGAAACAAATGCAATTAGAAAGATATACAGTCAAATCTGCATAAGTCGTCAAAGATATACAGTGGTACCTCAGGATACAAAATTAATTCGTTCCGACACTCAGATCGTATCATGAAAATGTCATAAGGTGAATCATTTTTCCCCATACGATTACATGTAAAACCAAATAATTCGTTCCAACACGAAAAACACACTCAAATTAAAGCTAAGTAATACATTAAAAAATAATAATAACTATAGTAAGGAAAATACTGAAAAATACGTTTTGTAGTTGTAAACATATAAATAGCCGTAATAGAATAATAATTGATAAAAAAAAATGTAGTTTTATTTTCACTTTACCTTTGAGGATAGACGACGGTTGGAGGTGTAAATTGGTGGTGGAAGAGAGGGAGAAGGGAAATGATACTAAAACTTAACTTACATAACAATGTAACAATGACTTAAAAATAACTTAGAAAAGATTTTAAAAAATTAGTGTTGTTTTATATATATATAATTTTTTTTTTTTT